ACATACTTATCCGCGGTCGAATATTGTCACCTAGAGCCTGGCTGATTTGTGCATAGCCTGTACTACAGTTAGTTTCTACATCCCCATTTTACTTAGTTCTAGAGTACAATGTAGCCCGCCCTTTCAACTCTTTGTGGCGTTCACACTGACCAGTTTGTCACCACAAAGCATCACGACACCCCCCCCCCGTTGAAGGGGACGCCATAATGGCTGAACTACGTTGGCTTTTGACCCAAGCTGTGTCTATTAACGTTAGCGCTGTAATGCCCCGTCCTACTGGGTTCTTTTCGTCGCCTTTAATGTCAAAACGAAGCATCGTGTTAACATTTTCGCCGCATCTTAGCCATTGCGCAATTGTCTACTAGTATACAAACTCCGTTTCGAGGACTACCGTACGTCCCGTACCATTAATAGGGAGATTACTAGGATACATACGTGCTCCAATGATAAACACAATGAGAGGCAATAATTATAAAAAAATGGAGCAAATCTTTAAAAATTATCTTAGTTCGGATTATGGTCTGCAACTCGCCCACATAAAGTTGGAATCGCTAGTAATCTCAAAACAGCATGTTGCGGTGAATATGTTACTAGACTTTGTATTGTGCTTTTCATGTAATATGCCCGTTGTTTAACTGCGTTAAACAACCAGACGTTTATAATATTATAAGCCCGATTGAGGATAAAACAACGCTAAACCTAAGTTCTGCATTTCAGCAGAATAAAACAACGCTTACTTTATTTCAGCCGCAAACTAATCGAGCTGCAGCACCAGGCCAACTTATGCAGTGCAACCACCAGTTCATCACGATGCATACCGTATTAGGATGTGAAATGGGAGTACTATACATCGTGTAGTTGTAATGCTTCCTTGCTTTCCACGTACAGTGCTAAGGTTAGAGCAGATCAAGTGTGAGTAATTAATATTTGTAGTGATCACGGATGGGAGGTCATGTATGTGGCCATAGCTGCTTCAGTTTCATTGCGGCAAGTACCTTGACGTATAAAGTTATAAAAGATAATAAAATGTCCATGTGTAAGATTATTTATTTATTTTTGTTGTTATGATGTTAGATATTAACTGTAAAGAAATACAGTAGATAAAACAAAGATTATAATGTTACCCAGAACTAATTTGAAGTATTTATAAATAATGGATAAATAGTAAAGTTCTTTTTTTTTTTATAAATAATTTAAAATATCAAAGAAATGAAAAACCTTTATTTACTGTTAAAATATTAACACCTGAAACCATTCAATAGTGTCGAATACCGTTGTATTTTATTGCTTTTACAGTAAAATTCTACTGTACGTACTAGTCAATGGGAATGCTCTGAACGGTTTATCTTAGATAAAGTAATGGATTTTCTAATGGTTACGTTTTTTCAATCTTTAGAGGTCTCGTCAGTCACACTGCACTTTTGCAATGGCCACATTTCTAGCCTTGAACGATATTAGTATCCCACAACTAACAGTTTGGAATAACGTTATCTATACTAGTATAATACTACTAGTACACCGCTGTATACTAGCCGTCAGAGAAATTCGATGTCAAAGTCATGTATTTTCTTAGATAGCTAAAAAAAGTTGATAATAAATTAAGGCATTATTCGCCAATTCGAAAACCAAGGGCTTACAATATAATGCCATTTTCTCTATTCGAGTCTGATGTACATGATATATGTATGTTACTGACGAGAAACGAGGTTATTTCATTGAAGACTTTGCTCATACTACTATTAATACCATGTGACTATAACGTTATGGCAAATGAAAGACTTGCATATTTTCGAATTGACTACGGAGTTTCCACCTGATCTATTCCTCGGATTTAACCAGCAACACACAGGTTGAACAAAGAAAACAAATATGAAATGTATACTTGTTGTTTGTAAGCGTACAGAATGATACTAGTACTAGTTAGCAGTACATGATTTGCAAGGAAGGCGGGGTTGAAGTGTTCTGAACCAGCCCAATAATATTAAATACCTTGGCAGCGCAGGAGCCATCGTGCACTAGGATGTTTATCGATCGTATGTGAACTCACTGAATTAGTGAAGGAGGAAGAGTAGGGTCTGCAGTAAGCATGGACGTGATGTTCATGACGTCACGTCCGTGCTCAAGCTCTATTTACATGTAGGTAGACGCCGGAAGGTCACGTCGCTGACGGGAGTTCGGCAACATGATGTCGAGGAATTCATGCCGGAAGCCAAAAAATCGGCCAGTGTTTTTGTGACGTTCATTTCGCTCTACAGTGCTGAAAAAAACGTTAGCACATATGTGTTTTTTCGAGCTACCGCGCGAAAAAGGTATTTTTGTTAATACAAAACCATACCAGTCGAACTGCTATGATTGGGCAGAGCTATAAAACGCACTACAAGTCCAACCGAGGACCCTGGAGGTTTTTATGACGTGGCTACGAAAACACGGGATGGACGTAAGAATAGCCGACTCTCCCTTAACTGCATGCAACTTGAACAGCCTAGCAACATGCAATTTTAAACACATATCAAACAACCATCGACACCCCACCACACCTAAACAGCATGGACCGAGGATTGCAACTTGACGAGTATCAGCGCGGCCAAATTTCGGTCTGGAAGGCCAGCGGAAAATCTGTACTGTTCATGTCCAAGAGCTTGGGAAAGTCGTGCAAGGCCATTACCAACTACCTGAAGGGCCCCCAAGCCAATGGCAAACGCTTTAAAGGCGGAAGGCCACCTAAACTCAGCGATACCACCCTCCGACTTATGTTCCGCGAGGTCTCGAAAACGGGTTTATCGTCGTCCAAGATCGTTGCTCAATTGGACCTACCCAACACCTCTCGTGCCGTACGATACAAGTTGTCCTCCAACACGCTTTTCAAATATGTGAAGCGCAACTCGGCGCCAGCGCTCACTGAGAAGCACAAGAATGTGAGGATGAATTTCGCATCGGAGCACCTCCACAAACCACCCTAGTGGGACAAGATGATTTGGTCCGACGAGAAGAAATTCAATCTCGACGGGCCAGATGGACTTCAGTGCTACTGGAGAGACTTGCGGCAGGACCACGAGACGTACATGTCACGCAAGTTTGGTGGCAAAAGTTTGATGTTTTGGGGGGGCGTTTTTGTCGTCCGGTGTAAGCGAGCTAGCGTTCCTGGAAGGCAATCAAGACGCTGACAAATACGTCTGGACGTTGCAAGACTGCCTGATGCCCTTTGGTCATCAATTCTACACCGACGAGGTCTTGCTTCAACAAGATAACGCCTCCATCCATTGTGCGAAGACCACAATGGAATTTTTGAAGGAGCAGAAAGTCACCGTTTTCGATCACCCTGCACTGTCCCCTGACCTCAATCCGATTGAGAATATCTGGGGACTGATTGTACGTATCGTTTACAGCAATGGCAAGCAATATGACAACGTTGTGGACCTCAAGGTTGCGAACAAGCGTGCGTGGGCGGAATTTGACGATTTGACGATAAAAAACTTGGTGGATTCGATGCCACGCCGGTGCACGAGTGTCATTGGGATGGGTGGGGGCATGATCAAGTATTAGTTCAACTCGATTGAAGTTTTTGATTTCGTAACAATACATTTTACATCGTTGTGCTATTCTTTCTTCCAGGTGCAAATATCAATTTTGTCGATTAATGGAAAAAATTTACTTTGTACGACTTCGAGATTGACTTCAATTGTAGTGTAATGTCATTTTTTAAAATGACACGAACATCTAGCTCTCAAGAATCATTCACAACACTTAAAAGTGTTGTGAATGATTCTTGAGAGCTAGATGTTCGTGCAGATTGAGTAAACCAAAAAAAGAAACTCATGTGCTAACGTTTTTTCCAGCACTGTACTGTATGTCTGAGTTTTAAATAAATACCTACAGGTACTGATCATATTATGTGTAATTTACGAAATAACTCGATCTGAGATACCAACCTAGTCATATTGAACCAGAGTATCTCATCGTACCGTTTCCTCTTGTCCTCCTGGAGTACATGTACTAGTAATACCTCAGGTCATAAGATACTTAGAGTTAACTCAATATATCCAAAGCTACAGTGTACAGCTGTAAGAACTACTTATTACTACTGTACTCGTGTACTAGTAGTACCTATCAGTATCGGACAATTTGATCAGTGATGAAGTAAGCTTACAGTTAACTAGTTAGTGTATTTGACATGGTGGCCTATTGTTATATTAGACAAAATACCTTAAGTCTAAATAGTTGGTACTATTAATATATTGATTGGTTGCTTAAATTTCTCACAATTCAATATCAATTCTATTTAACAGTAAAATTACCGAACAGTTTTGACAGGGAGTCGAAGGCCCTGCTCCATGCACTCGAGGTTGTCACGTGTCGAAGGAATGCCAATCGAAAGTCCTAGTGTGTCTATTAGGTATGATAAGAGCTAGAGCACTCGAGCTGCGTGCAATCGTTTGAGGTTAACTGTTTTAGTCAATTCCCGCATCCTCCTGACCAATCATACTACAACAGCTTTTACCCGTAACGTTATGGTTTATTTTATAGGGAGGATGTCGCTCTACATGGTACATCTGTGGAGTGTACTGTACGTGTACCTGCACTAACAGTAAAGTCATGTCATCCCAGTTGCAAAAGGTACTTTTCACTTCATTATTGCCAAGCAGCCGACGACGACACCAATTGACTTGGCTACTTTTGCTGTTTGAGATCACCTTTGTATAGCGTTTTGTATACTGGCTCCCCTCCATACATACCCTTGCATACTGTAAGAAAGGGCGTCGCGTACAGTACGAAACTTGTACCTTCAACACTTCATACGTCAAGGAACCTTATCAATACATAACCTTTAGCAAGACAACAAGTGATATCAATGAAACCAAATCCAACGGTTCATTTATAATCTCTGTATTCTTATATTTTGTACCAAGTCATACTTACATCGTTTCTATTCGCATTACTTCCTAGAGGTTTCATCGGCAATCCCCAAAATCATTGATTGTCATGGCCGAGGGTTGCCACTTCACGAAACTCCACCTGTAAGAGATGAAGGTTGCTTTGGCATTGTTGGTCGCGTCGACAGCGGCGCTGGACCGCAAACTTTACGGCGTGGACTATGACATCCGCACCAGCGAATGGGGTGGATGCAAACAAGAATGGGAGCTGCGTGCCGACTTCCAAGCGATGAAGACCGTGGCGCGCAATGTGCGTGTGTACGGGACACAAGAGCCCTGCATCAGCCGCGTGCTCAAGGTCGCCGCCGAGAACAACGTCCGTCTCTGGCTCGGACTCTGGGGCAACATCTACGCCAACCAGGATGCGTTCGACTCTCAGTTGATCACGTTCAAGCGATTGGTGGCCGAGGGGCGCATCCGCAACGACAACGTCGTGGGCATGCACGTGTCTAGCGAAGCCATGTTCCGATATTACATCCAAGACAAGCACGACTGGAGCGACCGCGAAGGCACGTTCAAGCTGACTTCGTACGTGGCCAAGGTGCGCACGTTCCTTCGCCAGCATGGACTCAACTTCCCCGTGTCCATTGCCGACGTTATGGACGCCTACAAGTACACGCCGGGGCTGTACCCTGCTGTGGACGTCGTAGCTGCCAACCAGTTTTCCCAGTGGGAGAATGTCTGGGCCAAGGATGGCGTCAACACAATGTTTGACCGGCTCAAGAACATCCAAGCGTCGAGTCGCGCGGCGGGGAAGCAGATTCTGATCGCTGAGACGGGGTGGAGTTCGAACGGATCGTTTCCGTCGATCAAGGAGGCCACGCCCGAGTCGTCGGGGGTAAGAGGATCACACCGTGTTGTGTACATTTGTATAATCTCTAACCAACTACTTGTCGTAGGTGTACTTGAAGGACTTTTTGCTGTTTGCGGAGCAGCAAAACCTCAACTTTTACTACTTTTCGTCGTTCAATTTGAAGTGGGGCGACGATTCTGCGTTCGGGTTGATTGAAAAGAACTGGGGTCTGTTTGACCAGAATCGCAATATTTTGCCACATGTGCGCAGCGTGGTGGTCGGCAAGCCCCAGAAAGCCGTGCGGCTGTGGCACAATGGCCTTGTGATCAAGGTGGATGGCGCCAACACCCGCACCGAAGGCCGCGTGTACTTGGACCTCCCCACGACGGGCCTCACCGACTCTCTGGACCGGGAAGTGTGGTTCTATGACGAAGACCACAAGACATTCCGCAGCAAGAGCACCAATCAGTGCCTCGACACGTTTGTAGATGACGCCGGCGTAAGCCAGCTGCACGTGTACTGGTGCGACGTGACCAACGCAAACCAGCACTGGGATTTTCATGCGGACGGATCGTACGAGATTGTGTCGGTTCCCCAAGTCGAAGTTGCCGAAGTCGCCACCACGACCACCACTGTCGCCCCTACCGAAGCCCCCACCGAAGCCCCCACGGACCCCCCCACCGACCCCCCGACCGATCCCCCGACCGCCGCTCCAGTCAACCCCCTCGCCAAGTACTACGCCGAGTGTGGGGACTGCCGCAACTGCCAGTTCTTCACGCCGTACTACTCGCTGTGCTATGCCAACTGGGGCCCCCGTGACTGTGGCCTCATGCCCAAGTCGACCCATCGGTGGTGCGGCTCGTTGCCGGCGTTCGTCCCTGTGCCCCCGAAGGCCGCCCCCACCCGCCGCCCGACCACGTCCACCCACCGCCCGGCGACTCGTCCCCCGCAGCCGGCCCCGAGCACCGCCGCCCCTGGGGTATTCCTTGGGCCCAAGGCGTCCGAAGTCCGTGTACCCGTGGGGGTATTTGTGTCCCTGAGTGAAACCAGCCCTGGCAAGTGCATCCGGTCCAACGACGGGTTGCTTCAAGTCGTGCCGTGTTCATTTGACGACTCGACCAAGTTCAGCATCCGCCCGTTTGAGACGGAAGAAGTGACCATCAAGATTGCGGGTACAGACTGGAAGATCACGGAATCGTTTGGCCGGGTCGTGGCTACCACACTTTCCAAAGTGGACTCGGTGCACCCCGACTCTCAAACGTGGTTTTACGATCCCCTTGCCAAGACCATCCGCAGCAAAACCAACAGCCAGGCGTGCTTGACGCTCGTGGAGGACAAGATCCACGGCGCCGTTCAAGGACGACTGTGTGACGCGGACAACGAGTTCCAGCAGTGGTCGTATAACGACTTGACCGGACAAATCTACTATATGGAGAAGATGGGCCTGTGTTTGGCCACCGACGGACCCAACCAGCCCCTGCACGTGCAGTTTTGTGATATCACTGTGCAAAACCAAAAGTGGGTGTTTGAGCTCGCGCATCATGGCAAGAAGAAGCAAGCCCCGCTTCCGTGCGAGTACAACAACCAACCCGCGCCTGCCACCCTGGCGCCTCCCGTGCAGGCCCCGGCGACCGCTGTTGCACCCACCACCACCACGACCGTGGCGCCGACGACGACGGCCGCCCCGGCTACCACCACCACGGCTGCACCTACCACCACCACGGCTGCACCTACCACGACTGCTGCACCGGCTACCACGACCGCTGCACCTACCAAGACCCGCACCCGCCCCCCGCCCGCCCGCTCCCTTCCCCGTGTGACAAGAATGAAATGGATGCTAACACGACAGTTGCACCTACCACCACGCAACGGGAGACCATTGTGACCATCACCAAACGGGTGGTTATTTCCCACAACAAACCCACGACCGAGGCCCCAACTACTACTACTACCACCACTGCTGCACCTACTACGACTACAACGACTGTTGCACCTACTACGACCAGTACCACTGCTGCACCTACCACAACTACTACTACTCAAGCCCCCACGACCACCACCACGACTACTACTACCCCTACCACTGCTGCACCTACTACCACCACCCCCTCAACCACAGACGAATCGATTGACTTGGCCAAATGCGTCAAGTACAAGGTCGTGGTCGGTGACTCGTCGTGGGCTATCTTAAACAAAGCGTGCGAGGGGTACTCTGGTGCGTGCAAGAAGGACGCGTTCCCCACGATTTTCAACACGCAAAACAAACGGTGCTCCAGCCTGCTCACAGTCGGGGAAGAGGTCAGCGTGTGCTGCGGCGACGTTTCTGCTGCACCCACCACCACCACCGCTGCACCTACCACCACCGCCACTGCCCCCACGACCACCGCTGCACCTACCACTGCTGCAACAACTACGACCGCCGCCCCTGCCCCTGTGACCCCCTTGGTGCCCGACCACCAAGAAGCCGAAGCCAAGGACGGGATCCCCAACGAACCGGTCGCGTACATCAACTACTTCATCCACCAGCACGCATGTGTGGGCTTTGGGGCGACGTGGTGCGAAGCGTGCGAGTGGACCAAAGAGACGGTGGCCGACGTGGGCGGCAAGCTCACGTTTTTGGAACTCGACACGAAAGTGGCGGGCGAAGGACCTGCGGGGGACGCCATCTCGGCGGCGCTGACGTCGATCACCGGATCCAACTCGTACCCGAGCATCTGGATTGGAGGCAAGTACATTGGCAGCTCCGACAAGATTGCTGACTTGGACGCTGCGGGCAAGCTCACCGACCTGCTCCAAGCAGCCGGCTGCTTGTAAGCAGCACTACTTGTCACCATCGTACCATACATCACTCACTAGCTTGATTCGTCGTTTCATGTTGAATATACCACATACACACGCCACAACTCGAGAGTGAATACTGCTTTGTCCTGGGACGTTTCATTCATATTATAAGTTAGTAACGTGGGGCATCGCTCTTTGCTTACTTTGTTCGTCGATCTCGTTGACTACAACACATATTGAGGTGATACAAATATCAAAATAACCGCAAGATTCAGGTCATGAATTGACTGTGAGGTTCAAAGGATTTCAATTTCAATAGTAAACACGTGCAGTAAGGATTTTCAAAAGTAGCGTTTTTCGTAGGGCACCAGTAATCGGCACACGTTTTAGACTTGTGTAATGTATTGAATCCTCCACACTCTAATCTGTCATCATACACTTGTCCTCCAAGGTTTGCTCCATGCAATGACATAAACTATTGCAGGAGGTTGATGACATAAAGGTGACCCAAAATATTGAAATTGAAGGTTATTTTGGTGGATAACCAGTCATTTACACATCAAACTCAATTAAGCAATCACTCAAGCGAATGACCGGAGTAATGTGAAGAGACTGGAGGTGCTCCATCAACGTCTCTCGAGGTACAATATCTGTACGATTCCAACAGTTCCGAATCGTCGTTGTCGTGACGTTTTCCCAGGCGTCCAATGACCACTTCATGGCAGTCAGTACGTCAACAGCGTACAAGTTCTTGCGGCTCTCGACAACATGGTCGTTGGCAAGGACCATGTTGAAGAGAGCAAGGACTCCTTGCTCTCGTCCCCATGGATCAGACCAATAACGTGATCCGTTTGACATCGCTTGTAGTGACCCACTGCTGCACGGCGGTTGTCTTAAATGGGCATGTGATACGCATAATAACGTTAAGCCCGAATCAAGTTCTTCTCGTGAATCGAGAGTCGCTTTCCTTGTTGTTTGCACTGCGGCATATTCTCAAATGTCCTCATAAATTAAGCCTGTCAAAGTGAGGTGAATGCAGCATCATGTTCAAAAATTTAAACCTCCTGTCAATTTCAAATCAACCCTTGTAAATTTTATATGTTATTGTTTTATACGGGAATTTCGTTTTGACCAGGGAGCAAACCTTGGAGGACGGACAACTGTATTACTTCGAAGTAGCTATCAAAGGAATATGTGTTGTATTAACTGCTACAGTAACGATTTCTGTATGATCAGCACAAAATTGATACAACCTCTAATTTTAAGGGGCACTAATTCGTGAAGAACTACATTTTGACCAATAAGAGGTATTCGGGCACTTCTATTGGCTTACAATAGTGCCGATGACTGGTGTCTTTGCCGAAGACTGGTGCCCTACGTTATATAGAAGCGTACACCGAATAGTAGGTTAGGCAGCAAGCAGGCCACTTGAATAATGTGGGACTGATTTGGGTGACAAAAGCGTCAGAACCTCTTAACCCACTCGGATTCTATATTATTAATAGTTCCAATAGCAGCTAGTACGCGGCCGAGGCCATTAAGTGCCCGCTGAGTAATTCTAACGTCACAGCGTAATACTAGTATCAATATCTATATCTACTAGTATATTATTAATAGTTGCCTTCTAAATTTAATCACTTGAACACTTTATAAATATCATTATTTATGAAGTGTTCAAGTTGTACTGTACACTTTATAAATATCATTAACTACTTATGAAGTGTTCAAGTGATTAAATTTAAAGTGCAACTAAGATAAAAACGTATTGCATGTCTGACAAGCTCAATATTAGTGTACACCGAGTAGTACGTTGGGTAGCAAGCAGGCCACTTGAATAATGTAGGACTGATTTGGTAGAAGCGTACACCGAGTAAGTAGTACGTTAGAGCATCTCCACCGCATCCCCAAACATGTCCCAACTCGATAATGGGACATCAGATGGGACAAAATCTTCCCCACCGGATGTCCCAACCCTAAATTTGGTTTCGGGACATCCACTTTGTCCCGAAAATTGCACACTACAGTATTCACTACAGTATTCTGTATTGGAATATCCCAACTAATTGTCCCAACAAATATACCGTGTAGTGTATAGGTTTAGACAGCCATATAGATTTGGACTCCTCTGTAAAATTAATTAATCCTCTGTAAAATTATATAGTTGGATTATTACACTTGATTATTGTATGTATGTGGTAATGGACACTATCCGTATCCGGATAATTGGTCCGCCACGTCCAAATCTATATACGTTACACGGTACTACGATTTGTATGGAAAAAGCAAGTGCATTCGTGCAGTTTCCCAATGTCGGCTTTGGACATAGCGCTTTACCGGCGGTGGTATCGTGAACCACGTCTCGCCGTCGTCGGGCACGCGGACGATGGGGCTGAACGAGATTCACCAGCATTCATTGATACAGCGATATCTGGCCGATATCGCTGCCTCAGTGATTGCCGGTGACTCTCGTTCCGACGCTGCGGCGGACGCGGGTTTGTCCAAGAGGCGCAACCGCATAAAGCTATGCGGTCGCGCATCACGGGCAAGAGTCCGCAGCAACAATAACACTCTATAACTTGGTGTATGGGATTACAGAATCGCTGCGGTCAAGTAGGCTTGCAAGTACCGGCATCACCTACCTTGGGGAACTCAATAGCAAGGCGATGGCCACCACCAACATGCCATACCACCATAACCTCTGAAAAATTAACTACAACTAGCGAGAGGCAAACACCGTTCATAACTCTGTTCCAGAGTGAACTTGGCAGCCTCTCGATGTCATACCATGCACTTCCGGCTTCAGGTCAATTGGGAAGGGGACAGGTACCAAAACGGAAGATTTTTTTTGTAGACATTCCAAAAACAGTGAACTGGCTCTAATTTAGGGATGGGGACAAAAATATTTGGGGATGCGGTGGAGATGCTCTTAGGTAGCAAGCAGGCCACTTGAATAATGCAGGACTGATTTGGTAGAAGCGTACACCGACTAAGTAGTAAGTTAGGTACAGTAGCAACCAGGCCCTTGAATAATGTAGGACTGATGACAAAAGCGTCAGAACCTCTTAACCCGCTCGGATTCTATATTATTAATAGTTGCACTAAATTTAATCACTTGAACACTTTATAAATTTCATTATTTATAAAGTTGCATTTTGGTTAATCCCATTTTTCGAGAAAATAGTATTCCATTTTCTCGAAAAATGGGATTAACCAAAATGCAATTTTCAAAATGGAGGTAAAAAGGTCCATTTTGAAACGTTGCGTTTTGGACCTCTTCAACGAGTATACACGTATAAATCTCGTGTGGAATTATTGGATTTGGGTTAAAACTCTTCTAGCAAGACATGTGTCGATTTTGATCAGATTTGTTGAATTTCGGCCCCAAAATGGCGTTTTGGGCCTGAATATTGCAATATCTCCGTTTACCAGACGGACCCTTACTGTTTAGTCAACATATGTGTGAGACTTTTAGCTTGACAAGATGACAAAGCGTCAAGCCAGCACAGAATCGTGTGTACCACCTCTGTACAATCCTTAGACAGGTCCCGATATATCCCGACATAAATCCTCGCTGTACGATGTTCCACAAGGACTCTGACTTGAACCGATTGATCGGTCCAACTGAAAACGCTGAAGAGCCGAACCTAAACCAACCGACAAGACCATAGTTTACAGTTGTAGCCAAACCCTTATTCGGCAATTGGAGTGACCGATGAAAAAGGGCTATTATTTCAGGTACTGTACCTTAGTCATTCAACATCTGCAATAACATCGTGTGTACCAACTCTGTAGAGGACGTGTAGAGGTGCGAACTGTGATGTCGCCAGCATTGGAATCGTTCGTTGTGTTCAGGCGAGTTATAAAATGTTACAGGTCTTCTGAATTGGCCGTTATTGACACAGGCGACAGTAGAAGCACATCCGGGACTGCAAAGTTGCCAAGGGCTATTCGCTACGCAACAGTTCCGCAAGCAATAGCTCTGTTAACATCTTATGGAATGGTCAAACTAATTTGACGTTGGAGGTAGCATGGGGGACGCTTCACCAGTTATAGTTAACGTTTAGGCTGCCTCGAGCACTGAAATACTAGTGATTAATGAACCAGTATTTTCGGAAAAACGAAAAACGGAGTAGTATTCAAATTAATAGTAAGTACTACGTGTCCTACATGTACGGTAGTACTACAGTAAAACCAGTACAGTTCTTATTAATACCGGTACTAGCAAGTAGAGTACTACTGGTACGTACTTCGGTAATAGTAAAATGTCAGTCTTATGCAATTCTTAGCCGGACTTCATGCGGCTAACACTTGGAGCCCCTTGATGTTGTTTGCCCTCCAGAGAAGTGAGCTGCGAGGCGCAGCTTACGAGGGTACGTTGCGATTTTTAAAGCTATACATGCTGTTGCAAATGCAAACGTGACAACCTACTTATTTGGACTGAACATATCAAGTTCTAGAGGATTGGTAATCCGAATCAAGGTGGTGGAACGGTCAACTCAGATGACACTTTGAGATCCCACCCTATACGTTCATTCAGCAATTTCAACATCGCGACAGCACCACCGACGTCCACATGCAGACTCTCCATACCCACCCGCGGATGTATGCGACAGAGTCACGGCGCGAGGAATTGCATTCGCACAGGCGGTCGTACATGTACACCGTGCCTCAACGGACCTACCTGGTGGCAGCCCCACCGTCGACCATCCATCACACAACACGGCGACCTTCGCGAACCAAGTTTTTTAACAAGCGACCGCCGCCCAGGCCCACAACGTCGGCGGCATCGTCGTGGCTCAGCAGACTCACCATGTCCTGGATGAACCCTCTCTTCCGTCTGGGCAAGTCCAACCCGCTAGAACTCGACGACATCCCGGCGCCCTCCCCAGGCGATTGCACGTCCCACGTTATGGCTAGGTTCAATCCTATTTGGGCAGCAGAGCAGCGGCGCGCGTCGCCGAGCCTGTTTCGAGCACTGTTGCGATCGTTGCTGCCCCAGTTGATCCACGCCACAGTGTGCCACGTATTATACTTGGTCATGAGCTTGCTCATGCCGTCAATGATCCAAGGCATCATACAGTACCTAGAAGATACGTCCATCAACCCCGTCAACGGTCTGCCGTACAAGCACCCGTACGCTGGGTACATGTTTGCGGCGATTCTGTCGCTGCTCACGTTTGCGTCCGTGACCATGCTTGGCTACGCGTGGAACGTCAATATTCAGCTAAGTACCCACGCCCGCACCATCATTATGGACGTCGTCTTCACGAAAGCGATGCGGGCCAACCTCACGACCACGTCGTTCTCGCCGGGCGACATCCTCACGTTTGCCACAGTGGACTCGGAGCGAGTATTTCACGGGCTCACGTTGATTTGCTACGTCGCGCTGTCCCCCATCGCCCTAGTCGTCGTGTTTGTGTTGGTCGGGAATCACTTTTGCCTCTACTCTGCGTTGGCGGGGGCCGCCACCATGACGCTGTTCCTGCTCTCCGCGGCGCTCGTGTCCAAATGGATCGGCTCGTGTCGAGCCAAGCTACTCGAAGCTAGCGCCGCCCGCATGAGTCATACCCAGGAGATCCTCCACGGTATCCGTGTCGTCAAGATGTACGCGTGGGAGCCACACATGACCCAGTCACTGGCGGCGCTCCGGCACGTCGAACTCAAGCTGCTGCGGACGTTCCAGCTCGTGTGCAATATCAACATCGACCTCTTCGTGCTCGCACCTATTTTTACAACTGTGACAGTGTTTGCCGTGGCGTTGAAGTTTGGTGAGGAAGGCTGCGTTCGGTCAGACGAAACGGCCGCCGTCGTGTCCTTGATGATGGTCGCCAGGTTTCCCTGCAATATCTTTTCGTCGTCGGTGCGGTATCTAGCCGAAGCCGTGCTGAGCTGCCGCCGCGTACAAGCCTTCCTGGTCGCCAATGGCGGTGACTTTGAAGCTAAAGGGGGGGGCAGCAATCCCCACAATATGACCAACGCCACCACGGCCTTCAACGTATCCACTTTGACTGCCGGATCACCTTCGATGAACCCCCCGTCCCCCATCTTCCAACTCCGTGATGGGTTTTTCACATGGACCCCCCATGCCGCCGTCGACGAAAAAAATACACCCCCTCCCGTGCCCCCCAATGTTGCTGATACCCACCCCCTTCGTGCCCTGCTTGTCCCCCCCTCGTCGCAGTCTCCAGATTCCGCCTGCCATTTGCACCATATCAACGTGACCCTGCAGCCACAGACGCTCACGATTGTCGTGGGTGCCGTGGGCAGTGGCAAATCCAGCCTTCTTCGCGCCTTCCTTGGCGACATGCCATCTATCCCCCCAAACCCCCAATCCAGCATGCGACACGTGTCTGGCGTTATAGCATACGCCGGCCAAGAGCCGTGGTTGGTGCATGACAACGTCCGCAACAACATTTTGCTCACGCAGCCCTTCAGTGCTACCGCCTACACCCGTGCAGTCCACGCTTGTGGGCTGTCGCCTGACTTTTTGGCCATGGCCCAGGGCGATCTGACGGAAATCGGCGAGCGCGGCGCGACTCTCAGTGGTGGCCAGCGTGCCCGCGTGAACCTGGCGCGCACACTGTATCGCATCAACGACGCCGACTTGTTCCTGTTGGACGACCCGCTGAGTGCGTTGGACGTCACCGTGGCCAACAACGTGTTTAACCGGACGCGGGAGGCTCTCAAACACAAAACGACACTGCTCGTGCTCAATGGCCACCATCATTTGCTACAACATGCGGATCGAATTCTGGTCATGGCAAACGGCACAATTGTCGCGGACGGATCGTTTGCGGCCTTGCAAGAAGAGTTCAAGTTCCCCTTGTCCGTGGATAAGACAAAAGACGAAGCCTCGAAACACGTTGAACAGGTCCAAGACAAAGTGGATCAAGGAGACGACGAGGCCACCGACGAGGGGGAGGATGGGCGGATGTCCGCCCTGATGCAAACGGAGCAACGGGCCAAGGGCTCCGTGTTGCTCCAAGTGTTTTGGAGGTACTTTGGCTTGAGTGGGTGCCTGCCCTGGCTCATTGTCGCCACGTTGCTGGGATCGTATACACTGTACCAAGTCGTGTACTACGTTGCCGACTGGATCCTCAACACCAAAGTGTCCATCGTCGATGCCACCACACTGGCGGACTCGTCTTCGTACGGCCACCTGTACATGTACTTGTGTCTGGCGTGCGTGACCGTGTTGCTCTCATTAGCCAAGGACATGTATGTTATTTACATCTCGACGTTGTGTGCGACGACGTTGCACTCACGCGCAGTGGACGGGGTGCTGGGCGCGTCGATTACTGGCTTCTTTGACCGAACTTCGTCTGGAGGCATGCTAAATCGGTTTTCGAGCGACGTGGCCGCCGTGGACATTGACTTGCCGTACTTTGGGTACCAGTTTCTCACCGACTTGTTTCAAACGCTGAGTATTCTGGTCGTGTTGGCGTACTTTATGCCGCTGCTCATGTTGTTGTTCGTGCCCGTGGGGTACTTGTTTGTGTCGTATCAGCTGTACAACCTCATCACAGCCAACGAGCTCAAGCGCCTCGACCTTGGCAGTCGGTCCAAAGTGATCACCCTCCTCACAGACGTTCTGGACGGGCAGGCTACGCTCCGTGTGTACGATCCTGCCATTGTTCACACAGCCTTCACAGCACGCTACCGCCACGCTTGCGATACCAACACTAAGTGCTACCTCGCGTACTGGCTCTCTGGCACGTGGTTGGAAATTCGACTCGGGTGGGTCTCGTCTATCGTGGTCTCGGCCGTGTCATTTCTGTGCGTGGGGCTCTCGTCTAGTTTGGACGCCAAGAGCGCGAGCTTGGTACTGATCTACGTCATGAGTTTAAGTGCCAACATTCAAGAAGTGCTGCGCGCGGTGGGGTATGTGCAGACATACATGACGTCCGTGGAGCGCCTCTTGCAGTACCACACGCTTCCCCACGAAGAAGAAGCGACCAAAAGCCGGTCCGTTGTTTCGCCTCTCCCCCCGCTGTCGAAAGGCCAACTGGCACAGTGGCCTCGCAGTGGCCTCCTAAGGTTTCAATCGTACAGCATGCGGTATCGGCCATCGCACCCGTTGGTGTTGAACAACCTTTCGTTTACGATTGCCTGTGGGGAGCACGTAGGGATCTGTGGACGGACGGGGTCGGGCAAGAGCTCGACGGTGGCGGCCCTCGCTCGGCTCGTCGAAGGGGAAGGCGATGGGGCGGTGTACTTGGACAATGTCAACATCGCGTCGGTTCCGCTGCATGTGCTCCGGTCCAAGCTAACGATCATCCCTCAAAGCCCCGTGATGTTTTCCGGCACGTTGAAATTCAATTTAGACCCGACCAACACCCACTCAGACGACCGACTGAATGCCGTGCTGGCCACCGTGCACCTGAAAGATGTTATGACCCTCGATACATGGATCCACGACAGCGGCACAAACCTGTCGGTGGGCCAGCGGCAACTGGTGTGTATCGGCCGAGCCTTGCTTCGGCAAAGCAAGGTGGTGGTGCTGGACGAAGCCACCGCCCACGTCGATGGCGCGGCAGAAGCGCTGCTCCAAGAAACCCTCGGACACGCGTTCCAGCACACGACGACCCTGACGATCGCCCACCGGCTCGACACGATCATGGACAGCGATCGCATCTTGGTGCTGGATAAAGGCTCGGTCGTCGAGTTGGACTCCCCCGCCAAGCTGTTGGCCGACCCCTCCAGCGCGTTTTACAGTTTGGTGCACCAGTCGTCTTGAGGGTAGTACGATAGATAGATTGTCATGGGGTACTGTAGTTAGTAATATAACGACCTCTGAGGAATCCAGGGACAGGACTAATACAGTATAAAGTGGACAATGCGTCGGTTTTGGAATGATAACTGTCCTGCGTTGTGGTCGAGGAGACCGCATTCTATAGTACACCGGAGTATGTCACTCGTTTCAAACTCGTCACGATTTTGAAATGTCCTCATTGCCCATTTTACAGATATCCCTCTGTCCAAGTAGTTTTCAGAAATAGCATGAGCCAATCAAATCCGATTTACCTGGAGATGAGGGAAATACTGGATTTTGCTAACTTATATGCACCATGAATGATATCTGAAAGTGATACTAGTATACAGTAACCGCATAGTGTCATGTGATGAACAGAGGCTCTTCATTTTCCAATTAGTTTGGCCATATTTTCAACGGCTTAATCACTACTATAATTAGTACGAAGTACTACGTCATATTAATACTACTCTCCAGACCTAACAAAGTTCGCGCCAACTATATATGCTTGGTACCCGTATGTACATGATCCAGTTTGACTGTACCAAAATTTGAAGTCAAACTGGATGTTGCTTGAATCTCCTGTATCATATTGGAACTGTGCTTATATTTTGCAATGTAAAGCCGGCAGGACGACGCCATTGCACCATTACATTCGAGAGAAGAAGAAAATGAGTAGGATTGACAGAGTTGGACTGTGATGAAATTTATTTAATTGGAGAATGCTCCTCCATACAAACGCCTACTACGTACTACTAGTAGTATATAGTATGTAGTACAACTGTGTCCAATATAAACGTCGTTCTCTGTACCATAACGTTACCCAAATTTGCATGTATCCATCGAATGGCGTCACGCAGACGGTGGCCACATGCGCCACTAAGACCGCCCTCCTCCGTCAATTTGGCTTTGCCCTACTAGCATTATATATCATAGAGAGATCAAATCCTCCGGTGTCCCGTCGACACACCAGCCTACAAGTCCGTGACCAATATGTTATTCATATTTATTCTTGATGTCCGAGGCAGCGAATTACTTATTTGCCGCCATGACTTGCACGTCATACTTATTCACTCTATGCCCTGCAATGAATTATTCCATCCCCCGCCCACATGAATAATTTACTTGAATTATTCAAACATAATGTTAGAGACCTTTAGCAAACCCAATATGAAAGCATGTATTATCGAACGGGATTAAGGTGGAACTACCTTACTCAACGGAGCGCGTCCATATTAAGCATGCAAAACTTTGCTCCTCGAAATTGAAATTTTTCGGGGTCATGCTGCAACATCGGTGTCGGATGGCCAACTTGGTAGACGAAAAGAAGCGCTCATACATGTTCACACCGGCATGTCCAGTCCGTACTGCCAGGAGCATTCCGAGTAAAGAAAAGCTCGGCGAGCTGGCGGCCGCGTAGGTGAATGCTGTTGGCAATATTTATGAAAAAGATATATGAGGATAGTGCGTTCTCACTTTTGTGTTAGTGACTAAACGCTATTTTACCGTTATGGGGTCAAATATGCAGATTTGGCAACCACAACGGTGCGATGGTATCTACCGAAAAAGGCATATTTTTACTGCGAGACGGCAAATCGACCATTTTTACCGTTTTGTGAACACCGAACGGTAAAATTCAGGAGCCAATCATTGACTTATTTGAAGTATTTTCATCAATCAATCAATTGCTAGCATGGATATCTCGTTAATTGGATGCTCTCTCTAGCACGAAATGCAGCGCAATTGAGATCGGAGTCGCCTCCTTTGACTACCCTACTAACTGGGTTGAGTGACACTGCTCGTGAGATTTTTTTGAACCTGTCGAGGTCAACAAGTGGGCAAATTGATCCTCCGTGCAGCTATAAATTCGCAGTTTCGTCCGCATCAACTTGAACTCTACCGGTAGTCAGTATTACTATGTACGTTGGGATTACTTGAGCATAGGGCCCAATTCGTTGCCTATATCGTTATCGTTGTCCGGACGAGCCTGTTATGCGGATTATTCGCCGTTTCCACCGTTGGGGATGCAAAAAAGGACAAGTACTACATGTAGGTGGCATCCGACATCAAACCGACAAATTTGGAGCCGATGATTGGATAACCGACAACTTTCTGAATTTTGATTGGTCAGATATTTTATAGGCAATCTGATTGGGCGATGTAGTTGTCGGTTGAGCAACATATCACTCACATATAACATATACAGCTTGCTATTGGCTGAAAACACAGTAGTATCGACATACTCTGGAACACATGACCTCGACTCAGCATCCCAAGAACAGAAATACGTAAGTGGAGCAGAGCTCGACAAACAAGGTGACGAGTTTTGACTAGTACGAGTAAGAGAAGTAGCTGCTGTGCTTGGTGTATGGATGATGTACTGTACATCCATAAACAACATCACTAGACAGGCCGCACAATTGTCCACCGACCCACACGGCATGTTCATCTCTGTGAATCCGTAGGAACGCGGTGATGCCAGGGCCACTGGACTGGGGCACGAAGCAGTTTGTCAGTTCCGGTGGTTGCGTTAAACAACCTCTTAACAACTTCACTGACACACGAAGTCGCAAATCGGAGTTATGATGGACAGTACCTACGACATACTTATCGACCTTGCTAGTGAAACTATACATCACTCGTGGCTATTCATCGCTGAGCCGACACCACTTAAGCTCGCCAACCTGTCGTTCCCGACACTGTGATCACGTTGATGTACTGTGCAGTCACCAGGCGAAATGGCCGTGCCACAGTTGGGACGTGTGCCGATGGTAAACTCACGAATGATCAGTACACTGCAGCACACTGATATTGGTGTGGCCACTAAACCGAGGGGTCACGTCAATTGGTGACGCGACCCAAGAGCAGTCGACCACGCCACGCTCTTTTGTCCAACTTACCGCGTATCTTAATTATGGTGTCTTTAACTGTACCCTTTCTAGATTCCTCATTGGAAATGCAAGCGATTGCAACATCGCTGGAGGTGACAGGGTTTCTGTCCCCATGCCTCCATGAGACACAGCAAGAACTGTGATCAGGCCGCAAACGCAACTTTAGGGTGCGAATCCATGTTGCAGCCTCTGCACGCATTACACGTGGCACCCGGAGCCACGTCGTGTGCCACGTGTATTGCGTGCAGAGGCTGCTCCTCACGGTTCATGTCCTCACCTCGTCAGAGATTGTATAAAAACCAACATACGAGATTTGGTCTTTGTATTGAAAATGAAGAGTCATCTACCAATAAAAGGTACGAAGTATTGAAATTTTAACCAATAAGACTAATGTCGGATAGAATTGTCGTATTCGCCAAGTTACCCATACATAAAATACAGTGACGGCAAACGTCGAAATACAGTCTGATTATACCGTCGCACCATTGGGGATGCCCTAACCATCCATATCTACGAGAGGTTTTGAAGCCAGGTGTAACCACGAATTATTCCTGTCACAACCAATATTTATTTTTTGCCACTAGAAGTTCGAATAACCTATTTCTGAAAGCTCCAGAAATAGGTTACTGGTATTCATTTACTCCACCGTCACAAAAGAATAATTCATTTACGTAAACGGCCAATTCTTGCCCTCGGACCAATTCTTGCCCTCTTTTACTGTTGTGTTTTCAATGTCAAGTATTTTAATTATACCCAATCAAATACCTACGCGGCACATTATTTTATGGTCAGCACTGTCATGACATAGGTGACCGATGGTCACGCTTAGCGTACCATCAACGATTGAATGTGAATGTCGTGGTAAATCGAAAAACTTAATAGATACCTCGATCTACCTTGCGTCTTCGTCGCTAACCACGAAGTCGCGTGCTTCGTGACGAAGCATCTGTCGACGTTCCCACCACGCAACTTGAATTGTACGGACTGGAATTAATTCCATACAATTGCCCAATTGTCCGGCGAATGCATTAAGTTTTACGGTATCCACAACTATGTTTAAGGGGTAACTCTGGTTTTGTCACCATACGTCCTGGCCCTGCTATGGATGCGGAATGGACTGGGTTGCAAAACCTCTCTATTATTCGTAGTGCATACATTTGAGAATCCAGGAATAGACTTTGACGGTAAGATCATCAGAGCGAGTTCCAACGAGCTGAAAAGTGCAAATTCATTGAATTTTGTCCTGTATCTCTGTTTTGGATGTCGGATCCAACGGGGTTCCTGCGCAAAACGTTACTTTGGAATGCAAAGTTGCTCTATCTTATGCTTACACTGCATAGCTCTGAGATTAATCAAAACGCGGGCGATTGATATTGTATTTACAGAGGTCTCGTCGTTCAAAGCTGTTAAATTTGTTGGTTCACTGAAAAACTGCATTACCTGAAGTACGACTACCGTATATGCCCTGCTTCAGTACCTATGATTTCTCCGCTTGGACCTGTACCGGTTTGGAACATATCAGCCAATGACGAACCTTTTCATGGTTCCGGTTGGGCGTGTACCTAGTTGTCTCTAATTGGACATAAATAACCAATCACCATGAGTTAATTATTTTCATCCAATGAAATATAAGTCCTGTGATGGATTTAGACCAATGCGCATGCCTGAATAGTTTTCAAGGTACCGAACGCTTGGAGCTGTACTGGTTGTGATCAGATTTCACTGACATTTTCATAGGTACTGAAACGGGGGATATACGGTAGTACTACTAGCATTATCCGGATGTTTTCGAATGATCTTCCAGAACCGAGGATGGCGACTACCGCGTCTGACACAGTCTATGCACACCTGCAAGACTCAAACGTTACTGGATCGAATCAAACTTATTCATTTCAGCCACCTACACAGGCTCGTGAACTCTCACTTGCTATTTCGGCCGGACGACACCCTTTAGAGGCGTAAGTTGTGTGCCCTATGTAGACACCAATCTGGGGCGTTCTACACTTCAACTGGAATTGATATGTGTACTTCGTATCCTTCTTAAGGATTAACGTTATGTGATGATTTAACAATGTTTGAAATATTCATACAATTTCAAAGGTGGTGGCTCACCAGCAAACTGTAAACTCGAGACATAATTATCCAGTTAACAGTAATTCAGCTGTTTTGTGAATTCCAGTGAAATTTACTG